GCTTCCTGACTCGTCTGCGCAAGTGCCACGCCAAAAGTTGGGATCGAATCTGCCAGCTGTGTGCAATGCAGCTACGCGCTTGCTGGCCAGGGGGGGAAGACTTGAAGTCTTGGAAGTTAGCTACAGTGCAGTGTACAGGCTCAAACGGCAATCGATTTATGCGACAACCGGCCGTGAGATCTCGTTGCGGCGTAATGGGCGCCCAGACTCGGGATGGTTATGCCTAGAGGATATAGTCCCCCTTAAGTAGAATATGGGGTATATGGGGATCTTATTATAAAATACCCAAAGCCATATTCTATCTACTTAAGGGGGACTGTACCCTAAACCCTGAGCCCCTAAACCCTAAACCTGACATGACCAATGCCGCCATGGCACTATGTCTTCGCAAGTTTGCCAGGCAGGGGCTGCAGCATTTCACGTGTGTTTTTGGGCTTCGGGCCTTGTATGGCTATTGGGGATATATTGGGATAATGGAAAATAAAATGGAAACTACTATAATGGGTTATATAGGGATTATATAGGGGATATGCCCAAGTTCGGGGACATTTAATTTGTTCTGGAGGTTTGCATTCAGATGATCTTTCCTTTCAGGCATAGAGCAGGCCGACCACCCTTATTGAATTCTCACAGTGAAGAAGTGCGGTCCGTACTTGAGTACTTGGGCGAGGGCGTGTTGTATGTATTAGGTGGCCAATGATGATCATGTTATAGAGTCCTCTTATATTCTATTATACCACTATTGCAGGGTGCGGGGTCCACGTCATGCACACAGATGGAGGGGATTTTATGAGTGATTGACGGACTGCTCGGTAGGCAATCGGTTGACAACATCCAGCGAAGACTTTTGGATGCGTGTGTATAGGTTAGGTCCGATTAGGTCTATTCGCGATAGGTGTGTTTCATTCCTTCCCCCGAAACTACATCTCAATGTCAGGGAGGAAAGTTTGATATCAAGGAAGCGGTCTGCTATAGAGTTTCCTCTGCCAAGCTTGGAGCCCAACCCTAAACCGCAAAACCCTAAACCCCAAACTCCTCAGCCCCTACGTCAACACTAAAACCGAAACTCTAAACGCTAAAACCCTCAACTTGTACCCTCAAACCCTAAACCCTAAATCATACTTACCATGTCCCTATATGTCCCTTATATAGTCCCCATATAGAATCACTATATAACCCCACATAAGCTCCAAATCCCAAATCGAAGCCGGGCGTTAATCGAAGGTTGAAACCATGGGCCCCTAGTATGGGCCCTTAACGCTTGGATCCTTACATATCGACTGTATACCCCAACGGTCCAAGTACCTAATAATCATAGACTTACCCATATCCATTACAAGTACTATTACCCAAAACCCAAGTAGCTAATTATTGGGTACTTCAACCCTCTGGGATACTGTACCTCATGTATCCTGAAGGATCTCTAGAATCCCCCTAAAACGGCCTAAAGGCCCATATTGTTAAGGGCCCATACACTTCTGACCCCTAAACCCTAAACACCCTAAACCCAAAACACCCTAAACCCTAAACGCCCTAAACACTAAACACCCTAAACC